TTTCAATGCTCCAATCAGTCGACGATCCGCACCCTGACGCTGCATCACGGACGCACCCACGTGTTAACCGTCCTCGTCTCCCACTTCCTCCGCCGCGGGTCCGCTGCCAATGCATCCGTGTTTCGCGGCTTCCGTCGCGTTCTTCAGGGCCTCGTTGTGGCCGAACACCAACCCACAGTCACACCATTCCGGAATGCAGTGCGGGTATTCTCCCAGCGTGAGGTGAGCCTTCCCTATACGATCCAAGACGAGGTTCACGCTGTCGACGATGTGTCGCCGCCAGTTGAAGATGTACGACCCCGCCGCTATCATTGTCGGTTTGGCGACCATGGACGAGTAAAGGCACGCCTCATAGAGCGAACGGTCGTCGTCACCACCCATGCGCATGATCCACATGCACGCGCTCAACAATGCTCGAAGACAGTCCGCAAGCCTAGACAACCTCTCCTGTTTCACGCGACCGCCATCTGCCCATTGTCCACACCACAGTGTGTCTGTCCAACACTCCGCGATGCGAAGAACTGTAGCCTCGTGTCGCGCCGCCATGTCGTTGTCCTCGGGCCGATCCACAATCTTCACCCCCGCGAACCACAGAGGTACGTCCATCTTCATCGCCAGAGTATGGTACACGACGGCAGGGGACACCACGTTCGACCATTCCTGGCCCTGCCAAACTGCTCGTGCGACGTCCGTGGCAATGTCGACGCTGATGTACGACTCTGCACGAGCGAATCCAGCCGACCGCGACGACGATTTGAAGATCCAGCCGTGGATGGCGCGCAGCACCAGTTTCTCCACGGTGCGCGCTCTGCGCAGAGCCGTATCACGCTGCGCAGGGGCGTCGATCTCGAAGCACGACACGTCGTTCGGCGGCAGTATGAGCATCGCAGGCGGTTCAACTCCTGCGTCTCCGTTGGCGATTGCGATGAAGTAGTCCGCGCACTCGCCAACCGCCTCCCTCAAGGGTTTCCCCGGTCCCTGACCCCAGAAAGAGTCGCAATCAACCCACAACTTCGATCTTTCCTCCAGACCATCCTCCTTTGTGGCTCCCTTCAACCTTGTCACAAGTGGACGGTCGTCGTCGTCGTCGCCATCCAGCATTCCGTCTCTTCTTCCCTCGTCGTGGCGGACGTCGTCTACCCTTTCCTCGGCCGCACCTTCGGCGAGTCCGCTTCTACCACTGTGATCCGCCGCCGCCGTCCGAGTGTCGATCGTCGTTGCATCGCCCTTTTGCGCAGACTGTGCTTTCCCCCCCCCTGAAGCCCCCAACTGTTGCAGGGGAAGTGCCTGACGTGGCTGGCCCTGCCCCGCCACCGCGGGAAGTTGCCTCGGGAGGCGCACCTCCGTTATGACAACCCCTGCCGCCTTCGGGGTCCTTTGCGACGCCCCGGCAGCACCAACACCAATGCTATGCTTGACAGCGGACAACTGTTTCCTCGTCACCCCGTCCCGCCCGAAACCGAATCGCGGCGCCGCTGAAGTTCCTTGCGCGTCCACCATCACCACTTCTTCTGCCTGGAAGTCTGCAGTGTGCTCGGAGCTCGACTCTTCAACGCGCTGCCTTTTCGGCTTAGGGATGTGCCCTCTGCCTCTCTTGGTTTCCCCCTCATCGCCCGGCCCGCTATCTTTCCTGGCCTTCACTGACGCGTTCCTCGGGGCCATGTCGTCCGCAACTCGGCAACGACGAACACGTGGAAGTACGACGCCTGGAGATCGCCGACGGCCACGTCGACAAAGGAGCACGTGGACAATGCGCAATCGTGGTGGGCAGGAGCCGCGACGATGATGGCCAGCGAAAAAAGAGCACGTGCTTGCGGCGCGTGAAGGGGGACTGCACGCGGTGCACAAAGCTCGAGCGGGGAGACGCAAAGGGCGGGAAGTGCTAGCGTGCGGCTACGAATCACTGCTCAGACGACACCGTCGGAGACGTGGAAAATGGAGTACTACTGTACGGACTGCGGCCCAAAATCTCCTTTTCAACGCGGTGCGATATCACCGCACACCGTGTACACGCCACGCCGTCCAGAACAGCCCGCCCCCTGGCCGATCGTGCACGGACCGTTTTTTTCCCGAAGGCTTCTGGTGATCCGTCGTATGGAAGTGCTGGCGTGTGGGCGCGCAGGAGGACCATGGTGGAGGTCGAAAGACCCCGGCAAGCTTCCGTCGCCCCGCACCCCCCAGAAAAACACACAGGAGGACCATGGTGGAGGCGCCCCTGTCCTCCATTGTCCCCTCCCGCCCACAAAAAACACACCCTGCCACCCATTCCTT